AGTTACAGATGCAGCTGTAGAGTTTAAGCTATCCTTATGGGTAATTACCAGCGTAGTTGTCTTACTGAGGCAGTGTATCGTAATCATGTTTTTTAGGGTAATGGTGCAGTTGAGTCAGCAGTAAGAAATCTGGTGTCTTTGCTGCTTAACAACATATCCACAAATCCTTCAGGGAGGCCAACAGAGAGTGGGCAGCCGGAGCCTAGAAATCTGACTATCCAGCAAGAGATGACAAGGTTTTTGCTTTTTTTGTGTGTTTTTTTTATTTTAACTTTTTGCAATCTTTTCTGTTAAAGTTATTTGGTTTGTGGATTTATCAACATTGATTTTTAAATTAAAATGTGCTATTAAGGACTGATGTCATATTTAATAACTTTATTAAACAATAACCCTTATGTTATGCAACACTGCATTTTTTAAACTCATGCATTTTCATCCCACAGGTCATTTCCAGGATATTTCAAATCACACTTGAGCCGTGGTAAAAAGAGATGTTTAACATCTACTAAGCAGCTTGTTAAGGCAGGCAGTAAGACCACAGGCCTCAGTTTTTATTTGCTGTCAAAAAACACATCCTACACACCTTTGCCAGCTGAGGAGCTTGAACTCCTACAAGCTGGCATGGGGAGACAAACAGTGTCTCTTCCAGAAGATGGTGACTAGGGCTGCTCAATTAATCGAATTTTAATCACGATTACGATCTGGGCTTTCAACGATCATTAAAAATGACTGAGCCGATTATTAGCCCCTCCCTAATTTATCCGCGACACCTTAAAGGCCGGTCCGTGAAAATATTGTCGGGCATAAACTGGTCCGTGGCACAAAAAAGGTTGGAGACCGCTGATTAAGAGGACCCGAGGGAAGCTCGGAAAGCTAAGCAGAAGTTATTTGGAGAGTGACTGCCGTTGGTTGAAAAGAGAGTTTAAAAAAAAAAAACTTCAGTGGTGTTGCACACTATTTTATATTATTTTTTTAAAGTCATTGTTAACCCTTTAAAGCCGGTCAGAGCAGCACGCTCCGTTTTGCGTAACTATTTTTAAATCCCTGTAGAACCTGAACCGTGTAAGCTAGTGCAATAATTTGTTTTGCATATGAAACCGGAGGAGTTGTACTTACATCTGATGCCATCAGCTTGTCCTCGGTCACGGTTTCGTTCCACATATAGCTTTGCAAAAATTGCATAAAAAGCGCTTGCAGGAACAAAAACATAATATTCCAGAAACACGCTTTGCCGTTCCTATCAGCTGTTCGTAACACTTCCCACAGTGAAATGATGCACATGCTGTTTTCTTTGCAAATTTGCATCATAGGATTGTTTTTTGTTTTTCCTGCAGTATATAAAAATTGCTGTATCTCCAAAATAAAACTATGAAGACACTCAAAATAAATTTCCTGTGGTGGGAAACTATTTTTTGCAACTTTATTGTATTTAAAGTTTTGAGGGATAAGCCTCTTAAATTTCTCCAAGTAGAAATATATGTAAACAAAACAAAAGCGATTTTCAATTTTTTTTGTAGTTTATTGCACTTTTTTGCAATTTATGTAATTACTATGGACTTAATGCATACATATTATTAAAATATGGGCTATAACAGTTGTATTGATGTATAGCAACTTGAAATGCTCCCACAAATGGCACTACAGCATGTAAAAAAAATAATATAAGCTCTGGTGGACTTGGTTCTATAGTAGGTCTTAAAGGGTTAAATAAATATCGTCAAATAATCGTGATCTCAATTTCAGTGAAAATAATCGTGATTATCATTTTTGCCATAATCGAGCAGCCCTAATGGTGACCATGCAGAGGTAAGTTTGTGTAGTCAGTATTAAAATCAGTCATTGGCAGACGCATTTAGCCTGAATCATATGCCACAGTCCATTTAGTGTTCCATTCTGCTTAACTGTGTTTTTAACTAAGATTTCTAGACTTCTGGAAGAAACCTTTCCAAAAATGGAATATCTTTGTGGAGGATGGCTCTTGCATAAGGCAACAGGTTTGTTGTTAATTCAGTTTTTATGTATTTTTTTGGCATTCTTGCGTGCTCATACTGCATTATGATTATGTAGTTGATACTTTTGCTGCTTGATTGTTTATGCTATTTTTCTGTCAATAAAGGTGGCAGTGGTCGACGAAAGCTCACTGTAATTCCACCTGAAACAGAAGGATGTTCTGTCAAAACACTGAAAGCTGTGTCAGGAGGTGGCAAATCCACTTTTTACATAGTACCTCCTCAGGAAACATTAGACACATCTCCTCTACCTCCCGACTCACAGCACTTTTCAAAGATGCCAAAGAAGATATGTTACCAGTGTAATGAAGTTATGCCTCTGCAGATGCTTGCAGTACACATCAATACGTCCAAAGGAAAATTCTCTCCTGATGAGACTGATGATGAGGTGAGACAATTTTGATGAAATCAAAATGAGCAATTTTGATTAAATAATATAGTATCACAATTACTGTTTTTTGATTCAGCAGGAATCGGAGTTATGCATTGTGAAAAGCAAATGCAAGGTAAACCTAGCACATTACTAAAAACCATAGTAACTACAATGAATTTTGTATCGGTAATGATCTTTTTCCCACTATGCCTAACATGTACCCATTTTTGGAATTGTAGGTTATTTGTCCAATATGCACTAAGGATTTTCCTGAAGATGAGATCACAGTCCATGCGAGTCTGTGTGGGGATAGGTAATCTTTTTTCAGCCGTTTATGAAAAAATGTTAATCAGTAACAGTCCACACAAACATATGTATTTTTTATTTTTATTTTTTTAAACTTTGTTTTGTCATCAGCTTTCAATGCATGGTGCCTGAAGAAAATGACCAAACTACAGGGACACCAGCTCAAACTTCAGTATGCACAACAGACAGGTACTTTTTGCTCTATTATAGTTCATATACACACTATTATGCAGAACCATTTGTTAAAATTATGTGTAAGATCTTTTACACAATACCTGGGGTTTAATTTCATATAAAACATTTTATGATCACACATCTTTAAATTATTGTTAAAGGTTGTTGCACAGAACATGCTGCAATAATTTCTAATCACGTTTAATGTGGTAGCCTCTTTTAATCTAAAGATGATTATTTTTCTTTGAGAACTTAGGATGTTTTCTACCCTGTTTTTGTTAAGCGTGGAAGATGTATTGCGTTGCCTTGAACAACAAGTCGACACCACAACAGAATTTAAGTTGTGTGTGGACAGAGAAGACCTTCCAGACAGAGGCATTCTCCAGTGGCAGAGAAAAAAAGCTGCATCTCCCACCAGTGTTCTTAGGGTGGCTTTCATTGGAGAGGCAGGCGTGGATACAGGAGCACTTAGGAAAGAGTTTTTGAGTGGTGAGTTGCCTATTACCTGTTTTGTCCTAGTGTCAATAAATAATGGATAACTTAAAAATGCGGATATTTTTTGTATGAAAGACATGATTTCAGGTATTGAAAGCAGATTCTTTGAAGGACTTGAGAACAAGGGCAAAAACCCGAAGTATTCTCTGACCGATCTTGATAATGAAAACTTCAGATTGGTTACATACGAGCTTTGTGTATTACATTTAATACGCATCCGATATTTTTGTAAATGTTACCTGAAAATGAATTATAATCATTTGTCTACACAGAACTGTTGGTGAAATAATTGCAGTCAGCCTCTTTTTCAAAGAATGGTGCTACAATTTCCTCTGCTCAGGAGAGGTTGATTTCAGCTGTCTGTCTAAGGAGGATGTTGCAGATGTGGAATCTTCCCTGCTCATCCGCAAAGTGAGCACCTGGTTTAGCTCTGGCACATGATATATTATGAGTATGGTGTTTTTAAACACTTTTAACCTTCTGTATTTCCTCTTTCACATTATACATTTCCAGGTTGAAGATGCAGCAGACATACAGTCTCTGATGATGTGGGCTGATGAAATTGTCAGCTGTGGATACACAAACCAGATAAAGATGGATAGTAAGGAAAGCATGATCCGGTAAGGGAGAAAAAATCAGAGAGATCATTAACACCCCCCCATCCCCAACTAGTTTTTCATTTTGTTTTTTCTTCTGCTTGTTTTTTTTAAGTGCTATTGTCTTACACTCTACAACAAGACTGATTCCAATGCTACAGCAGCTCCGAAAGGGCATGGAACTGTATGGTCTTGTGAACCTGATGGCTGTAAATCCTGAAGCTTGCCACAGTTTGTTTGTTCCTGGGAAAATCCTTAAAGTAAGTATTAACATAGCAGCTTCAGTCTGATCCAAAGACAGTCCACTTATCTGTACTGTAGTTATCCTGTATTTATTTATTAGTTTTGAATGAACAATATATCTATAATATAATCTACTTTATTTCCTTATTTACAGCCAGACGCTGATTTCATTATGATGAGCTGCCAACCACATTTCAGTGAAAAAGGGACATCTAGGGAGAGAACTGAGAGGAAGATCATAAATTTTTTGCAAGATTTCTTGCAGGAGATTGAAGTATCAGGTACTATATAGTATTAGCTGTATATACCTATAGTATTGTATATATACTGTATGCATCTGTTAAATATTTTTGCTTTAACATGCAGGGCACTAGAAAGTATTCTTAGTTGTTAATTTAAAACATTGTAATCCAGATTGCTTTTTATTTAGAAAAGACTTCAGAAACATTTTCAAACATCACAGATGGAAACACAGGCGGTGCAGGTGGTGAAAAATCAGAGTCTCTTGCTGTCCACCATGTGCTCCAGTGGATGACCGGCCAGTCCCATGTTCCCATCCTTCCTGATGAAAAGAGACATTTCAAAATAACATGCAAGTTTGACCATGAATGTAAGGAGCAGCTGGGAGATCACTCCATTTGTTACCCAGTTGTGAGTGCATGCACTTGTACTGTGACTTTTCCAGTGCAGCATCTGGACACTTACACAGTGTTTAAAACCATAATGAGTGCAGCAGTTAAATATGGTGGTGGATTCCACAGAGTTTAACACATTGTTGTCTTCTAATTTGGAAACTAAATGAGTAAAAATGTTTGTAAACATTAGCTGTTAAGATGTTCGTAGCCGTTTCATGAAAATGACAAGACTTCAAAACTTTGTGTAGGGTCCTACGTTGATAGATAATAAGCAAGTGCTTTGTTTGCTTGTCTACTTGTAATCTGAATGTTTTAGCAAAGAAATCCAGTATTTGAGAACTTAAAAGAACGTTGACTTTCACGTCCATGTTAAGTGTCACTGTTGGTTTGACACCTGTAGCAAGAATTGTATGTACAGGTCACGACCGTGTGACTCAGAATGTTCCAAGGGATTAATAGTTCTCTGAAGCCCCTCCAGGGTTTCCTCATCCAGTGGGCATTCAACTTCAGGAACCACAACTGTGCTGTTAGATTCTTCTTGCAGTACAGCACTCTCCCAGTCAATGCCTGGATCCCGAAGCTCCTTCAAATCCACAAACATATATAATGGTCATTATTCCAGAATAGGTACTTTTGGGAGGAATGTTATTTTGTGTAAGCGTTTTTTCCATTAAAATACAACAATTTAAAAAGAATGCCTTTGTTTTCATGTTCTTCTTACTGTAATTTAGATTAGTGGTAATTGATAAGCAAGAATGTATAAAATCACCAGAAGCATCTCCCAGATGTGCTGCAAGTGTTTTAATTTGTTAATTTCAGAAGAGAAGAGTTAACTGCTAACTAAAATTTTGAAATTCAACATTTAAATAAAAAAAAAAACAGATTATGAGCTGGTACCTCAAGTCTCTCGCCCTCGTCCAGCTCTTGTAGATGTCCCATACACCAGAGCTGTTCAGGAGTGAGACCACCTTCTGTCCTGAGGGGATGATTATTCCATCCTCCAACAAAGGTGACAAGATCTGCTCGGAGTCGAGGGACAAAGATGTAGTGGACACCAAAAAGATGAATGACATCTGAAATGTCAAGCAGGCCATCCTCCTCGAGTGAGTGAAGAATATCATGGTACTTGCTAGTGACTGCAATCCAGACATCACGCCAAAGTCGTTCTACTCTGTAAATACATTTGAATTTGGATTTCAGGTATTTCATGCTTCAAATCAATATCAGAACTGCTACAACAATCTACCCATGCAGTAAATAATAATATAAAAACATCAAAAGACTAACCTCTGATTGTGGACACTCTTTCCAGATATGAAACTCGCTCTCCCTGTTCCTCTTGTGGCAAACATGAAATGTGCAATGTCCAGGTTTTCTACTCCTTGATCTGCCCTAACCCTATGATAAAAATACATTTTTAAGGAATTTTTAAAGTTTTCTTTAATGATACTTGTTGCTAGCATATAAATTAAATCAGGGCATAAAACCTTGATGGCAAGCCGTGAAGCTGGGCTGATCTCAGGAAAAATGAGAATGCAGTTTTTGCCCTGTTGTTAGTTGCTGCATCCAAGTACAGGACCTGCAGTGAAAACAAATGGAAAATTAAAGATCTGGTTTCAGATCATGTATAGTTTTTCAGTTAATAATGCAGTTTCATAATAAGTGTTCAAGGAATATTGTACGGTTCTATGTTCATAACCATAATTCAAAGCTTGAGTAGTCTATACATCAATATTGGTAGTACTTATCAAAAAATGAAAATGGCCTTTTAGTTTAACCTTTTTTGGTAAAGAACTGATTAGAAATTTAAAAAAAAATAATTGCAAATCGTCCACTATGTTGGCTTGCTGAATAATTCATGTTCATAAAAAAACAACCTAATAAAGCTCTCATTTCAAAACTACCAAATATTCTACATAACAGTTACACTTTTACCTTCCTTGAGTAGCCATCCACTCCACCAAAGATCACAACATTGTACCTGTTTCAGAGGGAAAACAATCTCACTAAGGCTTGATTTGCAGAACATGTAAGACATTGAAAATACATTTTTCAGTATGCACACTTGCCACTGACTTAAACTGGACACTTGTCAGGTGTGCTGAAAATAATACCAACATTTTTATATGTTTATAAGTTCAATGAGACTAAATATTTTAGTTCTCTTGTCATGATTTTTTTTAAGTTTTCTGGAGCACTTAACATATTATGTGTTGATAGGCTTGTTATCATGGAAAATATCGATATACAAAGTGTAAATAACTGCTCAAGAAAATTTACAATTACCAATATTGCTGGTTTTGTTACACATCCTGTATTCCTTTTACTTAATATTACTCTATCAAGTGCTTTTTAAAATATTATAAATACACTGAAAGACCTATCAGATAAGGTTGATTAAAGCAGATTTAAAGTATAACGTGCATCTTTCTGCCCAACTTGTGTTAAAGCTATATAAGTGGGTATTTTACCTTATTAGCTTGTGATTTGTGTCTATGTGGACCAGGGAGAGAGGGCCTCGCACCGAGTAGCTTCTTCGCACAACACAGCCTAGTTCTGTGATCCGTTTGAAGATCCCTACAGCATCAACTCGATGCATGGAGGCCATCATTCTCCACCACTGAACACGGAGACCCATAGAAACCAAATGTCCTTGAACCATTCGATAGCCAGCATTTGGCATCTGATTTTTGATAGCCGATATGATGTTGTCCAGCTCTTGGTCATTCATTGTGCTGTATGTTCCTCTCACAGACAAGTCAAATTCTTGCATCCTCCTGTAGATTGTTCTTCTTGAAACACCAAGACATTTAGCAATGCAGCTGACTGGCAGCTGAATGTCCAACAAATTCTTGAGTCTTTCTCTCTCTAGTACGATTTTGGGGTGGCCAGGTCCCAGACCAACTTCTGTTTCCAGTTCAATAATGGCCACAGAGCTGATGTTAATTTCACACTGAACCAGATGATGAACGTTTTGTAGAGCCTCTGTAATCTCTGACAGACCGCCTATTTGCTGAGAGAAAGATTCAAACAGAACAAGCTCATGACGAGTCAAGAACTCCAAATAATCCAGATTTAGTGGTTGTTGGTTTAAAGCAGCTTCCAGTTTAGAGAGGAGTCTATGCATCATTTGCTGTCTCAGTATGTCCTGTTAAAAGCAGCAAGGAACATGGACAAGTACAATGAAATGATGTATCTCAGACAAAAATAAACAACCCATAAAACAAACTACATGAGGTACATCATTTTTCAAGTTTGCATAGTTTGCAAATTAGCTAACGTCAGTTATCAAGCGAATAATAATTAACAAAATGATTTTATATTACTTACATGTGGCCGGGACATGCTCTTTTCGTGCTGCTATTCAGTATTCGACGACATAAAAAAGAGCTACTCAAGTATAATTTGGAAAAATTAGTCAGTTGGCATGGTTGTATGATGCAACTACATTCTACTACACCAACAATAGTCTTAAAAAATAATATATTTTAAAATAAAATGATTAAAGATATTATCCGCAAATTGGGGTTTAAGAGAGTTTAGCTGGATTTAGCTACATTTCGGACAGTGTTTCCGGAAAGCAGTAGCTGGCGAGCTGATTGGAGACCGTAAGAGCCAATCAGAATTTTTGAAACCAAGTCTGTGATTGGTTGGTTTTGTGGCACACTTATAACGGTGTACAGAGAGTTGAGCGTACGAAGCAGAGAATGTTGTGAGCGCAAGCAACACATTGCGAGCAAGCGCATGAAAAAACTGAGCGAGAGGGGGTGCTATTGTGTGTGTATATGGATAAGCGCAAACACTGAAATACGTTTTTTGCACGCAGCAATGAATTTTGTTCACTCAAATTCAGCTTTTGTAAGCTCAAAATAAATTTCTCCTCAAAATGCAACACTTGCACCTGCAATTTTTTTTTACGTGCGCTCAGAATAGTGGCACAAAAATAACGCCATAGGGACCCTCCTATAGTCTCCAGATTGGAACTCAGTCCAATCCAGCCAGTAGCAGTTCCCAGTCTAGAGCTTAGCCAGCCACACCCAATATTAGATTCTAGCTCAGGGCCCAAGCCGAGGACAAGCCCCTCAACCTGGGCCTGCTGAAAGTTGCCAGGGACTGGCAAATGCAAGTGAACTTGGATCAGAGGCAAATTTTTCCCACAGAGATTGTAACAACTACTCTGCGACCAGACCTCATCCTTTGGTCTAACTCTCAAAAACTCGCGTACATCATTGAGCTGACAGTACCATGGGAGGAAGCAATGGAGGAAGCATTTGAGCGTAAGAAGCTGCGGTATGCCAACTTGGCAGCTGAGGCAGAGGACAGAGGCTGGAAGATCAAGGTGCGCCTGTGGAAGTGGGGTGCAGGGGCTTTGTTGCCAGTACAAGAGCAAAACTGCTTAGAGAGATTGGGATCAGAAGACAGGCGCAACAGCAGGCTATAAGAGAATTAGCTAACACTGCTGAGAGGTCACTGTGGCTAAAGAGGGCTGACATCACTTGGGCAGCTAAGGCAGTCTGCTAACCGCGAGACACACGCCCAGGATTGATCAACCCGTTGTGGGCCTGCCTCAGCAGGGGGCATCAAAAGGGTAAAACAAAACATTAGAAATTTTGCTGGTTGACTGATACAGTTGTCTCAGGGCCTCCTGGGGACTGTGCAGTTAACCTCATGGTAGTGAAACCAAAAGGAGGAATGAAAGAAAAGAAAAGGAAAATGTTCCGCTCTTCTTCCCTCTGCACTTCTTCCCTTTTCTGGGAGGTATTGGGGAGGTAGAGCATACAGCCCGATCGTGAAGGAAGGTGTGGAAAGCCAGATCAGGCACCCCCCTTCAACTTGTCCCAAATTTTAATATGATAATCTAGATCAGATCTCTAATCCCTAATCCTAACCAAGGAAGAAATAATGGCAGAATAATGGGTAAAAGACCGAAAGTTGAGGCACACAATGATGTGTGCCGCTGATAAAGTTTGTGGGCTGGGTTTCCTCATAACAGCCATCCCTCAAGATTTTCTCCATTTAAAGCAATGCATTATCAGGTATTGTAACATCTAGTCCTTTTACTGAAACGTATAGTCTGTAATTTACTATCTACATAGTTTAATCTGATGACATGAAAGTTCTGCATCTGGAAAGTGACTTTTTTCAGTCAATTTAGGACTTTAACTTGAAATCCAACTCCAGTCTTCCAATATTATTACATTGTTTGGTCAATCGACCTATCATCCTACTGGAAAGTCAAATACATAGCCCAATCTGTGTTTTATTTTGCAGACAAGAAAAAGCAGGATATGTTAATTTAATTTACCTTCTGAGTATACTCAGAAGGTAAATTAACATGAAAAAACAGAGATAAACAATAAAAAAAAATGTAAATGCAAATAAAGCAATGGCAAATAAGGAAAATCCAATTTTAAATGCAAATGACACAACTAAGCAAATACAAACACATATAAACAGAACATGAAAAAATGATCTTCCCATTTAAAAACATACACAAACACAAAATCTAGGTATCCCACCTGCTGTGTCAGAGAAATTATATCTTAGAAGAGGAGGCGTGCTCACTGGTGTGTGTTCATGTTCACTCAACATTCCACCTATCCATCTATCAGCCCACGCTTTAATGCATTCCTTTAATGATCTGTGAAGACAAGGATTGTCAGGAGGAGGGGAAGAGAAAGGAAGGTTGATGTAGATGATAACCCTTATTAAGGGGCTCATTCCTTTAAAGTCCTGCAAAATAACCTCTTTTTTTTTTTTAAAGAAAAAAGAAAAAGAAAAAAAAAGAATAAAATTTAAAAATAAATTCAAACTCCACTTTCAGTATTAAAAGAAATCTCTTATACGGATTGATGTTTTTAGTAAACTCAATTTTAATCTTGTAAAATGTGTAAATTGGCTTGGTGTAGGCAGTGAAGAATAATGTCTTCAATTTGTCTCTAAATTCTCTATAAAATAAAACATTTTGGCAAAATGCAGTAGAATCAATTTTTTCCACAATGGAATTATTCTCTTGTGGTACCTCAAACTTAAAAAGCTGACAGATGAAAGAGTTAGATAGATCTAGGACACATACACAGAAAAGGGTAATTAACAGGTCATTACCAGGAATGCTGCATTTGTTAGGATGCCCGGGTCGTTGACCCAGGGTTTTTGAGTTTATTATATTATTTATAATTTCTAGTCTTTGGGTTTTTGTCTTATGGTTTGTGTCTGTGTAATCCTTAGTTGCTGTCTCCCCTGTCCGCTATATCCCCGTGTCCAGTCAGTGTCTGTGTCTGCCCTGGTCCCACGTCTCTGTTCCCTCTGTTGTAGTGCCTGCATGTGAGTCTGTGTCTTTTGTTCAGTCTGTGTTATGTGTTTCCTGTTTTCTTTGAAAATCCATGTCTCATGTTAATGTGTCTGGTTTTGCTTCCTTTGTCTCGTTAGGCCTGATTTGCCCCAGCTGTGTCTCCCTCCTGTTGCCCATTCCCTGATTGCTCCCTCTGTGTATTTAAGCCCTGTGTTTCAGTTTGTCAGTGTCGTGATCTACTCTTATCTACCCTCACTTATGCTGTGTGTTTTGTTTTTTCCCTGCCTGTGTTATTGTTTGTACTTTAGAGGTTTGTTACTTTGAGTTCAGCATTAAAGCTGTTTTGAGTTACTTTCTGTCTCCGGAGTCTGCACTTTGGGTCCTTTTCCTGCCTGCACACAGCCGTCACATAACAGCATTATAGAAAGGCAGGTTTAGTGACAAGGTTAATGTCATCATTAACATGGTGCTGTTGATCTCTGTAGCTGTATACAGTGATACCACTTTTTATGACTTTGTATATCTTCTTTATTAATGTAATTTATTTAAAGATTTGATTCATAGATACATTAAACTTAATTTTAATGTTTGAGCGTCTGTGTGTGTTTGCGCACGCGCTTGCATGCATAAAATCGCACCACAGTACACATGCATACTCTTAAGCTGTCAAAACTCTTAAGTTTACAAGTCATTAGCCACGTGTCATCAGACAGTTTGGCTGAATAGGCCACTGACATAATTTACATTTCAATCCATCTTTATTTTGCACAAACACATGCTGAGTATCAGGACTGTTAAATAGTTGACAAATAACAGAGCTGTGGAATCAGTTTAGACAGCAGGGTAAATAAGGAATGCTGGATAAAATGATTTCTGCTGTGTTTGAGATTGTGCAGTGAATGTATTATTTTGTATTCTTGTTTGTTACTATCTCACTATTTACGTTTTCTTTTCATTTTTATGGTTTCTTTCCCACTTTCCTTTTTTGGTGTCTAACATATGTGCGTGGTACACTTTATTCTATATGCTGTCCAGTTACTAATGTTGTAAGATCCTGCTGTTGTTGCAGATTTAGTTGTAGTGAAGACATCAAACCTTACAGACTACAAAATTGTAATCTAAAAAAAAAAATTCTAACAGTTTGTGTGTTTTTGTTTGTTTTTATATTAAACCCAATTAATGCATTTGAGTACTCAGTTTTTGTTTTGTTGTAACAATAATGTTATTTAGTTACTTTTCAGATAAGAAGATTTATACTCTAATCCTTACTTTGTACTACGGTGATTGTTAAAAACTGTCTGTCTGCTACTAAGGAGCTGCGCTTTATATTCGGAAGAAGCACATGCAAGCAATATCCAAATCTATAGCACTTATGGCCTGCTGAGGAGGGGATAGATGCTATGGCTCACTTTTAGCCGCACTAAAGCTTTCACTCCAGAGAAAATGAACAAGATTGGATAAGATCCAAAATCAGCCTGCTATGCAATGCAGTTAAATTGGTACATGCAGAGGTAAATGCACAGTCAAATACTGTCACTTGGTACGGAGTTGAGAGGACCAAATGCATGATGCAGAAACATTGGAATCAAATCAAAAGGATAATTTGTTCCAAAATAAAACAAAGAACCAAACAAGAAGAACCCACAATGAAATCAGGGCCACACATCAGGGAACATCAACAGATAGCTTGAGACATGGGAGACAAAACTATAAAAGCTTTTAGAACTGACTACAGAAGACAAGTAGGTGTGGAACAAAATGTGGATTTAATTAATTAAGAACAGGTGAAAATAATTGGGTAATCTGGGGAATGCAGACAGGAAGTACAACAAACACAGTGGATGAAAGAAACTAACCTTGAAATTAAAACATGAAAAAAACCCACAAAAACAAGATGTCGCGTTAACATGAAAAAAGCAGACAGGGAAATGTGCTAAAAGACACAGGTGCCAGAAGGAGGAATCAGTATGAAAATACTGCAGGACAAATGAACTCACAACAAGACTGAAGGCCAATAAAACACAAATTGCATGAAGCGCAAAGTAACGTGTTGGATGCAATGGTGTAAAACAAGCCGCCACTG